CCAGTGCCACCACAAAGACCAGACTGTTTTTTCTTGGAGTTCAGGGAGATATGTGAACTCCTGAGCCCCTGGACACTGACCTAGCCCCTGGGACTAGAGTTAAGACTGAAGTAGCAAGCTGGTCTAAAGTGAGGGGAGCCATGCAAGAACTCTAAAACTTGCAGCTAGTACCCATTTGACCCAGCTTGGATGGCTTGCTGGCCAGAACTGGACCCCATCTCTGAGGTCAATTCAGACCTCTGAATTCAGTGCCAGCATCCCAGATGCCCCTCCCATAGGGCCGTCTGCCCAAGGCGCCGCCTACGGAGAGTGCCCTCGGTGGACCGCCCAGATTCCACAGGTCTGGTTTGAGAAGACGGAGCTGCAGCTAGCAGAGAAAAACATAGGAAGGCTTCTCCCAATGACAAACGAGGCTGCTACTGTTTCACAACATTCTCTAAACTCACCTGATGATAGAGTTGGGGTTCTGAAGAACACGACTTTGAAAACACCCTTTTATTAAAAACATGCTGGCCTCCCAGAGATGCCCAGATATGGCCTTGGTACCATGGCTCAGTATCTTTTGATGACAGGGGTGGGGGCCTGAACACAGCTCCATCTGATTCTAGGGAGCGCAGAGCAGTCGGGCTGGTCTTTGGTGCTTGGTTGCAAATCACCCCCATTTCAAGCTGGGTCTGGAGAACTCACCATTAGCTATGACAGGCAGATGTTGGCCTGTGAGGGTTATGTTCTGGAAGCGGCCACCAGCTGACCCCCCTCCACCCTAGTCCTGTGGCCAGGGGACCTGAGATAGCTTATCTGTGGCCCTGTCTTCCACCCCCCAGGGAGATGGGCAGTCCCCGCAAGTGACTGACTGCATAATCCGCTTCTGCCCTCAGGGTCTTCTGGCCCCAGGAGACCGGGTTCAGCTTTCCTCTCTGGATATGTGGAGATGCATCCTCAGGACATGCAGGGCACATCGACTTGGGTCCTCAAGGCCTGTTAAAGCAGCCTCCACCATCCAGTGCCAACCAGATCAATGCGTACACGTACTCTGGACTTCCACACCTGCCTCCCTCTCCCCACATCCTGCTCCTGCTTCCAGGAATCCCCTTCCAGATAAACTTGCTGTTTATTGTTGTCATTGTTAGGTGCTGTCTAGTTAGCGCCAACTCACAATGACCCTGTCTGTGTGCAATAGACTGAAACATGAAACCAGCCAGTCCTGAACCATCCTCCCAATCCCTTCTATTCTTGAGCCCATCTCACTGAGGAGCTCCCACTTTCTCATTGACCCTCCACTTTACCAAACAGGGACTCCAGGGACTACCTGCTCCTGAGAACATGTTTAAAGTACAGGAAGTAAAATCTCCCCATCCTGCCTTCTAAGATGCACTGTGGCTGTCATTCTTCCAACACAGATTTGTTCTTCTGACAGTCAATTCAAATGCATCGATTCTTCGGTCTTCCTGATTTATTGTCCAGCTTTCACATGCCTGTGAGATGAATGAAAATACCATGGCTTAGGTCAGGTCCACCTTAGTCCTCACACTGACATCCTTGCTCTTAAACACTTTGAAGAAGTCTTTTACAGTAGATTTAACTAACACGATGCATCGTTTGAATATTTGGCTGCTGCTTATGAATTCATTGTGGATCCAAACTCCTGAAATCCTTCACACCTAGCGCTTTCTCCATTTACAATAATGTTATTTGTTGGTCCAGTTGTGAGGAGTTTTGTGTTCTTTATGTGGAGGTGCATTCCATGCTAAAGGTTGTATGTAGTCTTGGATCTTCATCAGTAAGAGCTTCAAGTCATCTTCACTTCCAGCAAGCCAGCTTGTGTTATCTGCAGATCAACAATTATTCATAAATCTAACTCCAATCCTGATGCCATTTTCTTCTTCACATAGTGTAGCTGCTGGGAATATCTGCTCAGCATACAGGTTGGATCAGTACAGTGAAAGGATACACACCTGACACACATCTTTCCTGACTTTAAACTCTTCTGTTCAAATGACTGCCTCTTGGTCTGTGTACAGGTTCCTCATAAGCACAATTAAGTATTCTGAAATTCCCATCTTTCTAAATGCCTTTCAATAGTTAATAAAACGCAGATAAACATCTGTCTGGCATTCTCTGCCTTCAGTCAACAGCCACCTGGTATTAATATCCTTAGTTCCACATACTCTTCTAAATCTGGTTTGAATTTCTGGCAGTTTCCTGTCTACAACGTTTTTGAGTTATCTTTAGTAAGGATTTCCGTATTTGCAATATTAATGATATCGTTCTATCAGCTCTGTATTCTTTCAGCCACCTGTCTTTGTTGATGATACCGTTCAATCATTTCTGTATTCTTTGGGTCACCTTTGTTTGTTAACTACCATTAGCTTGCTCCCGACTCATGGTGACTCCAGATCCAACAGAACTGAACAGACTGTTGCCTGGTCCCGAACCATCCTCGATGCCATTGGTGTGCTTGAGCCCAATATGGCAGCCACTGTGTGCTTGCTCATCATTGTCATCCCAACTCGATGTAACCTTCTCCTCCATCACCATCGTCTAGGGGTCTCATCTTCCAGCACTACCTCAGACAGCGTTCTGTCAGATCCACAGGGCTCTCATTGACTGACGTGTGGGAGCTGAGTGTTGGGCCTGGTCTTGAAGCTTCCCTGAACCCTGTCCACCATGCTGCTATATGAACTCCTGGCAGCATTGCTTCTAGCATCATGGTGTGACAAACTGACAGATGAGATATGGTCCAGGTGGACCGTGCTTCCCATTCCTCCTACAGAAGCAGTTGAACTGAATTGTTGTAATGTGTTAGTCCCTCAGGGAGAGGGCTTTGGGCAGGCTATCTCCATCTCCATGTCTCCACGTCACACAGACAGCAAGCATGGCTTATGGGGACACACTCTGACCTGTAAGAACTGGGAGCTGACAAACAGCACCGATGGCCCAGTGTACCTAGTACTCTCAGACATGGGGAGTGGGTGCAATGCTCTTGGAAAGCTACTGATCACACTCACCAAGGGCCACAGCAGAGTTTGCACCCTTTAACCCAGTTGCTGAATGTCTCAGAATTTAGCCGAACAGAATCATTTAGGCTAAGAAGAAAGCTTTGTGTGTGTAACAATGTTTACTACAAACTGTGGGTAATCATTAATGGTTGGGTACAACTCCAAAGTTCAACTGTGCTGTAAAAACCATGTGGGGACCATGTCTGACTTCTGGCTTTACAAGGGGGAAAGAGAATCAAACTCAAAATCAGCCCAAGGCATCGGAGGTCAGACATGCCTCGACCCTCTAGCCTTCTTTATTCTGACACCAGCCATCCCTCCCTCAGCCCTCTCTGCTGCACATCTAGCTTCAACAATCCACTGCAATGGCCACACAGAACTCATAACAATACGATTCGGGGGTTTATTAGGGAAGTGGACAGGGTACAATTTAGAAAATCTCAGGATACAGCAGTTCTCGGGAACGCCTCTTATCTGACGTACTGCAGACACACCTCACTCGTGAGGTCCCGGGGCATCTGCCCTGCAAGGGTGAACGTTACCAAATTCCTTTAAATGTCCAAAAGGCTCATTCTGCAATCCAGCCTCCTGCACGCAGGCACACAGCTTTACTCAGTCCCTGGGCCCGGATGCTGACAGCTGCTCCATGTGGTCACCACTGCTGTCGCCACGTTTCTAGGTAGAGACCTCACACTCCACTCACGCTCTTCTTTCTTGATGGTTCTGGGATCTTCTGTTTCTGCTTGTGAGATGGCTCCTTTTAAATCTAGCTGGGTGGCAAAGCTAACCAATCCCAGCCGTAGAGCCCTGTACACCTTGTTTGCATGGTCCCACCCAATGACTTGGTGGGAATTAAGAAGACATTGGACAGAAAAGCCATATCAAGTTAATTCCAGGTACCACAAATGCATAAGTAACTGTATATTCCATCAGATGGCCTATTTGGAGGTCATTTGTCAGTTACGATTGTGGAAACACACCTGTGATCTACAGACAGACCCTCCCTCTCTGCTGCCCTGGGCTGGACACATCTGTCTGCTGAGAGTTCTTGACATCTGCCCTCCCTGGCCTCTCCTCCAACCCATGGCAAGCCTATCCCACCTGTTTTCTGGGTCTGCGCTTGCCTTGCCTCCCCCCCACCACCACCACCACATTGAAGCTCATACCCACTTGCTGTGTTCTTGTAGCAGATTCCCCATCTTCTCCTTCCCTGTTGATGCCCATTCCTCTGTCCATTCCAGGAGAACAGATCTTCCCAGCTCTGCCTCCTCAGGGCCAAGTAAAGCAGACCTCTGGCTGCTGGGTGGGACCTGTGACCCTGACTGACAAACAGATGGAGGAAAACTCCAGGGTACCCACAGAGGGTTGTGCTGGGGGAAAACTTTGCTTTCTTCTTTCTCATGGTCTTTAACATGTTCCCTAAATTGATCATTTCTGTATTCATTATTATGCTAACTTATGACAGTCCTGTTGTACACAGGACACAGTCTCTTCAAAAAGAAATGACATTTCTTTCTGCTCCCGGAAAGATTTACAGCCTCGGAACCTTATGCAGGGTCACTATGAGTCAGAGCCTACTCGAGGGCACTTCAAACAACACAGAGGGAGGAGAGATGGGTGCAGAGTTTGAACTGTGAGCACTGGGGTACCACGGTACCACAGCAAAGGGGCGGGACTGGCTGTCAGCTGACCTGAGGGCTTGGTGTCAGTGGAGGAGTTGGGATCCTGGATTGCGGTTGCATTTCTGTAAAATGTCCTTGCAGTTAGAGACAAATCCTGCAGAATTTAAGGGTGGCATGGTGATTGGGATTTGTTTTAGCAAAGTAAACTGAGGCAAAACAGGACCCGAAATGAAGGTTAAAGCTGCTGACCCAAGTGGCAGCCCAGTCAAGGGCTTTGTGCTATTTCTTTCCTTTAAAGACGTGTAGATTTTACCCTAAAAGTTAAGAAGTGCCTCCCCTGGCTTCCCCAGTGACACTAAGTGCTCTGCTTGGTTTCTAGAGCGACCGACTGCTCATCAAAGGTGGCCGAGTTATCAACGATGACCAGTCCTTCTACGCTGACGTCTACCTGGAGGACGGACTCATCAAGTCAGTGACCATGGGGGGGGGAGGGGTGTGGCGTGGGGTAGGGGCAGCCTCTGCCCAGCAGGACCAGTCTGGGGGCATCAGGATGAATCTGAGGTGTCAGGCAGGGGGAGTCTGGAGGTGTCAGGGATGAGTCTGAGGGTGCCAGGGAGGAGTCTGGGGTGTCAGGCAGGGGGAGTGTGTGGGTATCAGGGATGAGTGTGTGAGGGTGTCAGGCAGAGGTAGCTGTGGGTTTCAGGTGGGACCAGTCTGGGCATCAGGGATGAGTTGAGGTGTGTCTGCAGGTGGACTCTAGGGTTTCAGGCAGGACCAGTCTGGTGATGTTAGGGATGAGTTGGGGTGTCAGGGAGGGGGAACCTGGGTTGTCATGGATGAGACTAGGAACAGTAGATAGGAGCAATCTGGGGGTGTCAGGGATCAGTCTGGGGATTGAGTCTGGTGGTGTCAGGCAGGATGAATCAGGGACAGACAACAGAAGGTGAGGAAGGCTGAAGCTTGCATGCAGGAGGGACTCTTGAGAACTGGTATATACCCCCAGGACCTACTCGACACCTGTGCAGCCAGGAGCCCTGTGACCCCTCTCTCTTAATGGGGAGAGGGTGGAGACAGTAAGTAGCAGACCCAAGTTTTAATTCCTCATGTTGACCCCACACATGTCAGAGTAGGACTGTGTTCCATTGGGTTTTCAGCAGCTGATTGTTTGGGAAGTCGATTGCCTGGTCTTTCTTCTGAGGTGTCTCTGATTGGACCTGAACCTCCACCCTTTTGGTTAGTGGCCAAGCACATCTACCTGGTAAAGCTGACTATACTTATCGTGCTGCGTCCTACAGCCCAGGGTTTCCATCACAGTCTTGGAGTGGAAACCCATATTGGCTTGAGAGGCCTAGTTATTGGCTGGTGGTGGGTGTGTAGCTCTCTGTGATTCCCCCATCCTGTGGGACCCAGGAGAGGAGGAAGCTGTTGGGACAGAAAGGAGAGGTGAAGGAGTGGGGTCCAGAGCAGGCAGGGCTGTATCCTACTAGCATGACTGCCCAGCTCTCAGTGGGCTTTGGTGATGGTGTCAGTGAGGAGGGAAGGTGGGGGTCTGTGAGCTGTCCTGAGCATAAAATAAGACTAGTTGCAAAGTGCCCTCCCACGTCCCGCCTCCCAGGCAACCCTATCTGCCAGCCCCCAACTCCAGTTCAAACTGACCAAGTCCAGCACAGGCCTTCTCTCCCATCAGCTCCCTCCTTCCCTGACTGTGTCCCAATTCCCAGCCACCCTGAGACCTTGGCATTCATGGTGTTCTACAAGCCACTCCCCCATCAGGGTCCATGCCCGCCACTCGTCACCATCCTCGGATGTCCTTTGCAGCTCTGCGATCCTCTCCAGGAAGCTCCCTGACCCTTAATCTGCATGGGGCTCACCCTTCAAACCCCAACCCCAAGACTGCATGTGACTCTCTCCCATGCCCTCCAACCCCGGGCTTGTATGGGCCTCACCGCTGGTGTGCCCTGACCCTGAGGTTTTATGGGGTTCACCTGTGACTTCCCACAGCTACATGCTGCTTCCTGTCACCATCAACGTTGGAACCTCCAGTATTTTGTCAGTGTCTCCAGCAAAATTATGCTCTTTGAGACTTGCTGGCTCCGCTGCTGGGTCTTAGCAGTGCCTGGGAGAGGATGGTACCAGACAGATGGATGGTACAGACCAGTGAGCCAGGGCACCTGGGTGGAGGAGGGACTTGGGTTTCAGCCAAGGCATATCTTGGAGCTGGAAGGGCAAAAGGCAGAGTGAATGGGAGGAGATGAGGGAGAGGTGGCTTCTAACTCAACCCCTGCTTGGATGTGCCAAAAGCAACTGTGGGATGAACACCAGCCAGCTGTATGGGCAAATAACACCAGGAACGGTTTCATGGGAATGCTATTCCAAAAGCCACCCCTTGTTTGCCCTGATAGCCAGTAGCCCCCTTGGCCCGTCCCCTTTCTCCTCACATGATTCTGAGCTCACCCTGGCTCAGAAGCATTGCTTTAATGGCCTGAGTGCCACAGTTGACACAGGTGTTTTATCTGCGGTCATCTGTCTCGTTTGTTTCCAGACAAATTGGAGAGAATTTAATCGTGCCTGGTGGAGTGAAGACCATTGAAGCCAATGGACGAATGGTCATCCCTGGAGGCATTGATGTCAACACCTACCTGCAGAAGCCCTCCCAGGGCATGACCGCCGCCGATGACTTCTTCCAGGGGACCCGAGCAGCTCTGGCAGGCGGGACCACCATGATCAGTGAGTTGCCCCCTCCCCTTCCGAAGACCTGAGTCCTCTTCATCCCCAGCAGCACTAAGATGCTCAGGGTCTAGCAGTCACGTGACTCAGGTTCCCAGTCCTTGTAGGGTTAGCTTCAGCCCTAGGACTAAGGTCAGTGTTGTACAAAGCATGCTCTGTTCACCACTGAATGTGGACAGGAAGATTTTATTGGCAACATGGACACTTAAAACATTAAAAATTATGTTAATGTGTATTACAATAAAATCACGAGTGCATGATGGTTATTATTGCTCAGGATAAGTTTGAAGTCAACATTTAGATTTTTCAAAACAAATCGTTTAAAGAAAAGTATTAAGTAAAAACTGGTCTGGATTATAGAGAGAGAAAGGAAAATTTCTTCAGGTCTGGAAACAGAAAGTTCAAATGAATCAAGGCCAGTGCTTTAGAATGGAAGAAGAGTAGGTAAAAGAAGGTGAGCAGAGACCACTCCTTATAAATGCTTGGTACTGAGGTACGGATGTCTAGAAAACGATGACAGTTGTTAATTGTCTTTAACTTGGCTCAAACTCGTAGCAACCATGTGCATAATGCTGCCTGACCATGGGCCGTGTTCACAATCACTGGGGTGTTTGCATCCACTGTGGACCCCCGCTGTGGCACTGACCCTCTGTTTTACCAAGCATGGTGTCCTCTAGTGACTGGTTTTCCTGCTGACCCTATCCATTCAGACATGAATTTCTCAAAGACTGCTGTGTTAATGTGTCACGCAGCCCACGGTATGGTTTGCCATCACCTCAATTCAAAACTCTGTCCGGTTTTTTTCTTCATCTTTCTTTTTCTGTGTCCAGCTTTGACATGCATGCAAAGTGACTGGAAATACCATGACTTGGGTCAGATACACCTTGGTCATCAAAGTGACGTCTTCGCTTTTTAAGACTGTAACACAGCACCTTGTTTGAGTTCTTGCCTTATGTGTCCAAGGACATGATTGTTGATCCTTTTAGACTGACATCATTGACAACTTCAGTTGTCATGTTATCATGATGTTCTTTATTGACCCAGTTGTAAGGGTGTTTTCCTTTACATTGAGGTGCAGACCTTCCTCAGTCAGTGCTTTACGTCCTTGTCACTTTGGGCAAGCAAAGTTGTATCCATCTGCATATCACAGGTTGTTAATGAGTCTTCCTCCAGCGCTGATGGCTTTCTTCATATAGTCCAGCTTCTTGGATTATTTGCTCAGCATTCACATTCAATAAGAAACGTGACAGAATGCAACCCTGATGCACACCTTTCCTGAGTGTAAATCATTCAATGTTTCCTTGTTATGTTCGAACAACTGCCTCTATGCACAAGTTCCTCATGAGCACAATTAAGTGTTCCCAGAATACTCACGCGCTGCAGTGTGGTCCATAGTTTGTCATGAGCCACACAGTCAAAAGTCTTTGCATAGAGTCAATTAACCAGCTTCTCTGTTTTGTTGTTAGGTACCCTCAAGTCAATTCCAACTCAGAGACCTTATGCACAAAGGAAGAAACCCTGCCCAGTCCTGCACCATCCTTACAGTCATTGCTAAGCTTCAGCCCATTGCTGCTGCCACTGTGCCAATCCATCTCAGAAGGGGTCTTCCTCTTTTACGCTGACCTTCCACTTTATACAGGATGCTATCTTCCTCAAGGGACTGCTCCCTCCTGACAATATGTCCGAAGTATAAGAGATGAATTCTTACCATCCTGGCCTCCAAGGAGCATTTTGGTTGTATTTCTTCTAACACAGATTGGTTTATTCTTTTAGCAGGCCATGGTACTTTTAATGTTCTTCTCCAACACCATAACTCAAA